CTCAGCAAAAAGAGGAGGGTTGGTGGCAGATGTCAGCTCAGGGATAATCTTCCTCAAAAAAAAAAAAAATTAAAATTAAAAAATAAATAAATAAAAATAGGGCTAATAAAAGTACCTCCTCAGACGGTTAGTGTGAAGAGTAGATGAGCTAATATGGAAGACACTTAGCACATAAGAGGTACTCAAAACACATTTGTTAAATATTTGGTGAACGAGTTGAGTAATTCTGCCGTTTCTTTGGGGGGAAGAAAAAAACTGCCTATTACATAAGACAAACTGAAACTACATGTCAGCAGACAGGATCCAAGAAGACAGTTCACAATCATCCACTGTCCCAAAGCAGTTGCCACACTGCTTTCCTCAAATGTTTTCTTTTCTCTTTTAAAAATCAGACCTTTTCCACCCATGAGGTTAGAAAATTCAGGAAGGAGGAAGGATGGGCTGAACACGCCCCATGTCCGGAAAGATAGAAACAGTTATGTTCAGAAAAATTGGAGAGAAAAACAATTTCATAATGGTATTAAGTTAATTTAATTTAGACTAGGCCTGAAATATATTAAAAGAGAATAAAACCCTCCTACTTCTTCAGGGTTTTTTTCTTTTTTTTTCCAGCTCTTTCACTTGGACATCTTAAAAGTGCTTATACTTAAGTTTTTCTCATCAAAGTCTTTGGAGGATAACATGATTTTAATTAAAAAAGAAATGGGAAACAGAAGCAGAAGGAAACTAGATCATAAGGTTCCCAATCCTTCAACTGAAGCCAAATAGCTAAGCGGTGGCTAAGAGCTTGGGATTGTGGTGTCAGATTCCAATTCTACCATTAAATTTTCTCATCAGTAAAATGAGGGCAAAGAACAGTACCATATGAGAAAATACGTAAAATTCTTGACACTTAGGAAGTGTTCAATAAACCGTAGCCATTATCATCATGACTTTAAGATCATTATTGATATACTTCATAGGAATAAACTTTTTATTAGTGAATTGCCTCCTGGGACCTGCACACCACAGAGAAAATATTCAGACTAACAATCTGCTTGGGGACTCTGTCTCTGGAGGAGAAACGACTACATCTGGGGAGGTAAGTCAGAGTTCTAAACTTTCTTGGACCCTCTTTCATACAACTTTTTGTTCATAAATTTTAACTTCTGGTATAATTACTAGGCTTTTTGAAGAGTCATTGTTAACTTTTTAATTCTTTGTTTTCCCCATTAAATAACATCTTAATAATTTAAAATTTCCAAAGTACATTCACATAAATTTTCTCAATGGATACTCAAAACCTTGGGACATAGATACTGCAGTAAGATTACGTGCGACATAAAGATGAGGAATTGATTCTGGAAGTTGAGAGACCTGTCCAAGGTGACCCAGGCAGTAAGTGATGGTACTGAGATCTCAGTTCAGACTTTGAATTCTAAATTCCACTCTCAGTCACTACACTATGCCATCTTATCATAAATGCACATTCACAATGGACAAGGTCGGTATAATTTTCATGGTCTGACACTTCAGGACAGACACTTTACTGCTTGTGTCTTCAAGGCTAACCTACTGAAACGTCAGGCCAAATGCCTGGGGTTCAAGTTTCTTTACTAGTCCCTGAGTACAGGCAAAGATTCAAAAAGAATGGAGGAACAAGAGTGTGTCAATAGAAAACTGACACACACTTCCTTCTTTCTATGGATTGTGACCTCTCTCTCTCCACACTTTAACAAATAAAAGGAGATTCCTTATTAGGTACAATATAGTATCTTGACAATTATAATCCCTTTATTGATAATATAAACCCAGACAAATACTCTATGTGTGGTAAGAACATGTATTTAATAAGGAACACAATGTTTACACCAGAAAATCAACAGTTTGGGTTATAACAAACTTAATAAAATAAACTGTAAATAGAAAAATGTCTCTACCAACAGAAGCCAAACATGTAACAACTTGATTTACTCCATGGGAATCTTTATCTCCCTCCTCTGCTTCCTTTTTCTTTCAACAAATATTTTTGCAAATGTGCTATGTACTTGATACTGAGCTTATTACAGTGAGGTAGGACATATCCCTGCTTTCTAAGCGCTCCTGGTCTATGAAACATGATTTTAATTGATATTTACAATACTGCGTAGTAAACATTATGAGAGAAGTATGCAAAGGATGCCAGGCAGCCACAGATGAGAGGTGCTTACTTTTTTGTGGTTACAATAGTTTTGAGAAAAATGTTTTTCCACACCTTCCTGAAAAATAGGTTTTGAATCCAATTGCTATCACTGTAGCAACATTTAAAAAGTGTTTTTCTTCAAAGCTGACCAGGCAATCAGTGACTGTCTTTTACAGTGTAAATTTTACACCATTGGGTGGGACCAAGAACATATTTAATCATTAAAAAAACTAGATTTGGTGGTCATTTTGAGTTAATTTATGACCACTGATGGTTTAACTCAGATTAATTATTGAAGAAGTTACAAAGTTCTCTCTAGTCTGATCGGCTGTAACAACTGAAATAAACAAATCGGTCCCTTGGCTCTGCTTATTTTCAGGCATTCTCCCAAAGGGATTTGCTCTGTTGACATGGCTCTTAATTATAATAAAAAATCTCTTTGCAATCCACCTGCATTATTTCATTACAAAGCAAATGCACTGGCTTTAAGAAAAGCTGGTCTTGCCGTAGGTTTGGTCATATTTATGCTCCTAAGACTAATCATCAGCAAAAACCTACAGGGACAGAGTTTGGGGTTTCACATTCCACTGCTTTGCTCAGAAGCAGCCCTCTGGAGCGGTCTAATCCAAGAGGTCTTGATGGAAGCTAGGCTCCCCCAGGCTTCTTTGTTTACTCTCTCACCTCTAGAGAAGGTGTTGGACAAGGTCCTGTTTGGGTGTGCATTTTGGAGCTAGCTCAAGGATAGGGAAAACGGTTTGGAAAATGAGACAGCCCAAGTTGTGAAGCCCAGCTCTGAATCACACACAGGTGTGTGTTGATTTTCCCACTCTGAGCCTGTTTCCTTGCTGTAAAATGGTGGATAACAACATTCTCGTTGTGGACCGTTAGGGGATTTCAAGTAGATACTGTTTGTAAAGCACTTAGATAGTGTTTGGCACATGGCAAGCACTTGAAAAATTCTATTTGATAAATTCTAGTAATGGCTTTCCTACCAATGTCCAGATCTCTAAGATTTACATTTTTAAAAGAAAGGTGACATAGACCAAGCAAAATTTTGTTTGTATGTACAATTGTCTGAGGACAGGTGCATAGCTTTCATTAGATTCTTAAAAGACTTCTGTCTAAAAAAAGTTAAGTGTAGAACCAAGAAAAAGAACTCAGAAGTGCAAAGTGGTCTGTGACCACGAAAAACAACTAAATGAACATCAAGTACAAAGATCATATTTATTCCCGGAGAACGTCTACAAACAAATTTCCCACTGCACTTTCACCAAACTTCTAACACCGTCCTGCGAGTGCTTTCGTCTCCCACCAGGAGGTCAGGGTAGGAGGAAAGGATCCCACCCTCCTGCCCATCTAGGAAAAGACAGCTCACTAACAAAGAGGCAGCCTGCACAACTGTTACACGGCCAAGTTACAGTCAGCCCAACCCAGACGTAAAATATGGCTCCATTACTTATAGGCTGTGTGACGCGGAAGTAACTGAGCCTCGTGCAGCATCAGTTTCTTCAAGCGTATCCTCCCTGTTACACTCCTGATTTGGGACGATAACTCTCCAAGGTGCTTAGCAGAGAAAAGGGAGGGATGAAGATTTCCATTATTCTTTTGATGCTCCTGGGAAGGAACTAAAGACAAGGATCGCTGGGGAGGGGAAATGGGACTTACATGGGATGAGTGGACAAGGCTGGCTTTACAAATAATCAGAAGAGACGAGTCCAGTGTAGTGTTCTTGGTGGGCTGCTGGACAAGCCCACCCAGCCCCCTAAATTTCTTTCACTATGTCATCCTGTCTGAAATTCCACCCTTAGAAACAATTCCTCTGGATCACTAAGAGCCCCTGGGAGGGGAATCGGCGCTCCTGAGAGGTTTATGCCTCTCTTTATGAACCTCCACCCTCCCCCTGAGGAGTTAGCCAATAAAGGTTCAAGGTGATGGCCCTCTCAAGGGTTCCAGTTCCTTCACAGGGGAACAAGATCCAGCCACTCACAGCTTCTGCCTTCAAGACTGGGGAGGCCCTGGCAGGGTGGGAGTGAGGGTGGGGGAACTTGGGGTTCCTTGTGAAGGACCAAAGCCCCGAAGCCAAGGTCCCTAGGACAAAGGGAATAAAGTGGAGGGGGCAGAATGGGGCAGAAATCGAAGCTGGAAAGAGAGGGGGAAGAATGCCAAAAAGAGGCTTTTTTCTTCCGCAAATACGGCCTACTGTGTGTCGGGAGCTGGGGGCCAAATCTCGCAGATCGGACTCGCATCTCACACAGGAAATTGGCCTGGGGTGGGGACGCAGGGGTTCTCTGCAGTTCCGGAGGAGGGGGCTCCCCCCGGGGGTGGGCGAAGGCTGGGTGGAGGCCGTGGCCTCCCCGGGGATGGGGAGGGCAGGAACGGGGAGTCGGGTGAAAACGCAGGCCCGGGCATGGGGCGCAGGTTTGAGCCCCGGCCTCGCCGCCGCTGGCCGCCCATCACTTCTGCATTTCCTCGCCCACGTGCATGACACGAGATAAGGACCGGGCAGCGCCGGCACGGGGCCTGGCATCTGGCAGCCGGGCGATAAGGCGGGTCTCTGCCGGGCTTGGGTGCTGGAGACACGCCCTGCGGAGCGCGCGGCCACCGGGTGCCGGGCACGGGCGTCACTCTGCACCCGAACACCCCTCATCCGGACTCCCGGCCCGGGGGGCAGGGGGCGGCATTCTCGGCACACACGCGGGGAGTCCGCGCCGTGAGCAGCGGCCGCGCAGCTAAGAAGCAGCCGAGCCGGGCCTGGGACCTGGGGCGGGGGTCGATCGCGAGGGGAAGGGGAGGGGGCGGCGGGCCACCCCACGGGCCTCGCTAGGGTCGTGGGGCTCACCCTTGAAGGAGTCGGGGAGCCGCCGCGCCTGGGCGTCTGCCGTGTGCCGCTTCTCAGACATGCTGCCCGGGCCGGAGTCGCCGCGCTCGCGTCCTGGTCGCCGGAGCCAGAGCACGATCTGCCAAGAAAACCCTGAGCAGACCGGGGCCCCGAGCCCCAGGCTGCGGTCCCGCCCCCTCCCCGCGGCCCGGCCAATCGACGCCGAGTCCCGGGGAGGACACGCCCCCCGCGACCCCGCCCATCAGCCTGCCCTCCCCCCGCGGCCGCTTCGCAGGCGCCTCCAGCTCCGTCCACCGCCTGAGGGAGGTGGGTTGACGGGCGTGGCCTGAGGGACCAGCGGCCCCTGAGGCGGGGTCCCGCCGGACTGGCAGCCCCGGAAGGGCAGAGTGGCGGCTGTAGAGCGTGGGGTCGCGACTGAAGATCTTGGGGAGGGGGCTGAGGGGAAGGCCTGAGCAAAAGGTGCGAATAAGAAAAAGGCGCCCGTCTGGGCCAACGAATTAGAGAAAGAAAATGGCGCCCTCCCTCGGCGGGGCGGGCCCGAGTGGAGGGGAGGAGGCGGAGGGGCACCGGGGGCCGAGGTGAGAGCGCCGAGGCCGAGTTGAGAGGACCGGTGCGGGGAGGGCAAGGCCGAGGCGACCACCCTCGAGGCGAAGGGAGTGAACTCGAGCGAGGCCCGTTTGTTCAGACAGAATCCTTGGGGAGCACGTGGCGTCTGCCGGCGGCCTCGTTGCTGGGGTTCAGCGGGTCCTCGTGGAGCTCATGGGCCAGAGGAGGCGCGGGCCGCAGACAGGGAAACGCACCGAGTCATTTCCCGGGGCGAGGAGCGCGATGCAGCGACGGTCCAAAGAGAAGAGCAGAGGCTATCTCGGGGTTTGCGGGGACGAGGGAACACCTCTGAAAGGGGTGGCATCAAGATGCGACCTCAAAGATGAAAAGGAGCCAGCCTTGGGAACTGGGACAGGCGGTGCGGGAGGTGGGAAAGGGTATCCCAGGAGGAGGGGAGAGGTGTTCCCAACCTCAAGCTTTTTGTTGGGTTGTGTCGGCAACCTCACATTTGAAAACCATGCAATGTTTTATGCTCCATGACTTGTTTTAATCAAAAAGGTTCAAACTTCGTTAATCTACACAGGAAGGTGCACTTTCTAAAACATGTTATTTTGAAATATAGATTGACAGGAAGTTGCAAAGACAACGCAGAGAAGTCGTGTGTACCCTCTACCCAGTTTCCCTCCCGAAAGTCACATCTTAACTGTAGTATCAGTGCCAGGATATGGACAGGGGCACAGGATGTGTATATAGTTCTGTGCCATTTTATCTCATGCATGGGTTCGTCTAACCACCACAATCGAGATACAGAGCTATTCCTTGATCACAAAGATCTCCCTTGCGAGGAGCACTCTTTTCTTCTTTTCAATGTACTCCATCTTTGGCTGTATTTGTGGTGTTTGGGTAATATGAAATGGCAGTCTTACACAGTGGTAACACGTGTTAAGGGAGCAGCTGATCATCTTTGCTTTGGGGTGCAGACTGTGGTGTGTGATAAAAGCCTGGTGCCGAGCTCTCAAGTTGATTCTCAGTCACAGATGGTGGAAAAATTGTTTATGTTTCTGTGGGTGGAGTACACCCTGTGCAGTCACTTAGTTTAGAAGTCTCCTGGAGAAGATAAGGAGGAGAGTACAGTAATTTAGTGATCCTTCCTCTTTAAATTATCCTTGAAAACCTCCACAGCTTCATTTTTTCCATTCCAAAACGAATAAGCCCCAGAGGCATAACTTCCTGTTTGTGCTGTGGTTCCCAGGAAAGAAGAGCAAATGCGCAAGCAGCTAGTTAAACCCTTTAGTAGAGGACGGCTTGATTACAAATTGCATATTGAGAAAAAAGTATTTAGCTTTAATTTTTGTTGGAAAAGGAAATGATATTTCGAAATGAATTTAGTGTTTGTCCTCCTGCCTGGTACCTTTGCTCAAGTCAAAGGCAATCCCAACAACATCTCTTTTGGAGAATCAGAAAGGAGCCTTCTCCCTTTGGGACCAAGACATAGTAAACACTTGTTGCCTCTGGTTTCAGATTGCATCAGTCTCAGGAGCTAATTGCAGGCCCAAAACTGAGAACAAACTTTGACTTGATTTTTAAATTACTTTCAGGATGGATGAGACTTTCCAGATTGTGATTTTAAAATACTGAATTTCGCTTGTCCATGAAACTGGTGTATTCTGGTGTGGGGACCTGGAAATGGCCACCCCAAGATATGTCTCTTTGGCATGAGGATTATTTGAGGCTGATTGCTTTTGATAAACTGGGACAGGAAAGGAGGCTCTGAGGAGTGGAACTTGCTTGCCCTTTGTTAGGAGACATTTACATTTGTAAGGTAAATCTCTATGTGTAAAAGGTGCCTCCCTCTCTGTACCAGGAAGAAGAAAGGAGGTGACCTTCTCTCTAGAAACTGTTAGTCAATACCAAAGGCAAGGACTTAAATCTGCATTTTATTGTGCCTGTTTCTGGTAACCTCCTGTAGCTGACTTCCCTCCCCCTCCCAACGTTGGCATTTCTTTAAGGATTAAGCATCTTTCCTTAGGCTAGGAACTGATTGCTCACCTGTGCTCACCTGTGACCACCCAGCTCAAGACAATAGACTTGCCTCCTGCTACACCCTCCGAGATAGCAGGCCACTATCTGCTGTGTCCATCAAGTGCTGTGCTGACAGGGCAATCTTGTGACTATTGTGGGAGGGACATTTCAATCATATGTGAAACATCCTGTTTGGGGGTATATAACCATTCTGTGCACCCCACTTCTTCGGTGCCCTTTCTTCCTTCGGGAAGAAAGGCCCCAGGCCATGGTTCCTCATAAAGCTTTGTTTAATTTTCTCTTGCTATTCTGTCTCATGTGAATTTAATTCGTTCTCCGGCCAGATGAACCCACATTTAGGTAGAGGAAATGTCTTCCTCCCCTACACTGGCTTTCCCATGTACGTTCTGTATAAATGTATTGAATAAATATACTTTTAAAATAATTATTAGCATATTGTTTTCTTACTTTGGGGGAATTTCTAGACCTAAATTTTCTTCTAGTAATGATTAAAAGTTAGAATGGTTTTTGAGAACTTTATGCTTTAAACATGGAGACTTATTATATAAAATTACACATAATTTGAATCGAGAGAGCATTACTTAAAATCTTGTCACCTCTAACAGAACTACTATAATTTTGGTGAATTTTTCCTCTAGCTGTTATTTAGAGAATGTTTACATATAGTAAAATCAGAGTATATTTTCCACATTTCTTTTGTGTTTTATTTTGATGTTATTTCCCTAGCATATTCAGGGGACCAAATTACGTACTGATTGATGGTGATAGTGATGGCATTAAGACGTGGAGATCAGGTCGAAGACAGACATGCACCATGAATCCGTAATTGAATAACTCAGAAGGAAATTTAATTAGTCTTTTTCCTGTGTCCACACAAGAAATGCTTTAATAAGAACAACAGGAAAGCCCTTATTTATTTTTTCTTGTTTTTTTAATTTCTGAGGAAGATTTGCCCTGAGCTAACACCCCTTGCCAATCCTCCGATTTTTTGCTTGAGAAAGATTAGCCCTGAGCCAACACTCATGCCAGTCTTCCTTTACTTTGTATGTGGGATCCTTTCACAGCATGGCTGATGAGTACAGTAGGTCTGCACCCAGGATCTGAACCCAGGAACCTGGGCTGCTGAAGCAGAGCACGTGGAGCTGTACCCATTTGGCCCCAGGGCAGGCCCCTATTTTTTTCCTTTAAATTGCAAATCCAGGCTTTTCTCAATGTCTTTAGTGAAATCAGCTAACCAGATACTTTTGGAAGAGCAGCAATACCAGCAAGTTACATCTGTCTGTTGCTTTTTCCCCATGATGGTATTAACAAGTTTTATCTGTTTCTCTATGTGGACTAGTTCACATTTATTGTATTACAGCAGCATTTTTTTTGTCTTCTTAGTTCTTCTCTTCTTCAGGAAATTACTCCAGGAATTGAATCATAACAAGAGTTTCACCAGAAGATCTTATACATTTGGGCTGTGGCAGCGGACCAGTTACACCACAGCACTTGGTAAGAGCACGGGGACTCCAGGTTCTCAGGTATTTTGAAAATAAGACGCATTACTGAAACATTGGTGGTATTTAATAGAGTCACCTATGGGAAGAATTTTATTAACCTGCTTTATTTATTAGTTCATTTAGCAAATATTTATTGAACCCCTATAATGTGCCAGACATTGTTCTAGGTGCTTGGGATACATCAATGAACAAAAAAGACAACAATTCCTACCCTTGTGGAGGTTACATTCTAGTATTCTTTTCACAAGTGTTACTTTGCTAGGTCATCCATAACAAAGTACCACAGACTGGATGGCTTAAACAATGCACGTTAATTTTTCTTACACTTCTGGAGGCAAAAAGGCTAAGACCAAGGTTCAGCAGAGTTGATTTCTTCTAAGGAGCCTCACGGAAGGATCTGTTTCAGGCCTCTGTCCTTGACTTGTCCATGGCCGTCTCTTCCTGTGTGTTCACATTGTCTTCTCTCTGTACGTGTCTGTGTCCAAATATCCTCTTCTTATAAGGGCGCCAGTCATATTGGATTAGGGCCCACCCTAATGACCTCATTTTAACTTAATTACCTCTTTAAAGAACCTATCTCCAAATAGAATCACATTGTGTGGTACTGGGGGTGCTGGGTTAGGACTTCAATATATGAATTTTGTATGGGACACAATTCAGCCCATAATAGCATGTAGAACTATGGTATATCCAAATCTTTCCTGTTTTCTCATATCCCTATCTCTACGATATTCAAAGCTGTGTATGTTTCACTACAAAAGATGATCAGATAACCTATAATTATGAGCGATTATTTTTCTAGACATGATTTATTGTTAATAAATACAAAAAGGAAAGTTCTTGGTTAGGAAGCATTACTTTACTTGGAATGTTGCTCCATCTAGTGTCCACTATACTCTACTTTTGTCAAAGTTATGAAAACGAATAATAGGGAACTATGTTGGAGAAGGGGTTCTCTACTCAACAGGTTATTATTTGCAGGACACTAAGGACTCATGGTAAAAAATATTTTTTCAATCACTGTATGTGGAAGGAAAGAGGAGCATATATAATGAAATTATTTGTAATAATTCAAGTAATGTTACCATTATTTGCCATCACCACCAACTACTATTTATTTTTATCCCATGAGAAAACTGAGACTGGGTTTAATCATTTTCCCAAGATCTCACAGATTATGAATGGTGTTTGCCCCAAGTCTATATGACTTCAGAGATTGAGCTCTTAATCACTCAGAATAAATAAAAAGAAAAAAAACACCTCAAACATTTCATAATGCATTCCTCAAAACTGACACATCTAAGCTTACACCTAAATGAGTACTCAAGTTTGCCTTCAATCTTGATATATACTTAACCTTTATCTTGAAATGATACTTTATTGTTCAGTGTTTGTATCGCTGTTGATATACTGTGTCAAAATGTGTCTGTCTTAGATACTGAATTTATAAAGGACATAATCTACAACCAGGTCAGTATTTTATGGTTTATTTTATTGTACATCTTTAATTACATTGAAAATTTAAAATAACTTTAAAAGTTTGGATGCTTTTTTAATTTTAAAGCATAATTTTTGTTTCCCTATCAAACAAGTTGAATGGGGCAGTTTAAGCGCCTGTAGACATCAGAAAAGGCTTCTGTGGAAAACTGAGTTTAGTAGGATAAATACAAGTTATAAAAAGATGCTTTGGGAATACAGAAAAACCCTTGCAAATGCATATGAGGATGACAGAGCTCGCTATTTTTAGGGAAATGTAGGTAGTAAGATATGCAGGGATTGGGAGTGATAAGAGCTGACAGTGGACTGAAAGGCATTTGCCAAACTTAGAAGGTGATTATGAAGCCACTGAAAGGTCTTAACACGCAGAGTAGAATGAATGTTTTGGACTTATCAAAAAATCATGTAATAGACAATCTGAATAGACCTTTATCTATTGAAGAAATTGAGTTAATAATTAATAACCTTCTGAAACAGAAATCACCAGGCCCAGATGGGTTCACTGGTGAATTCTGCCATATATTTAGGAAATTATAGCAATTCTCTACAACCTCTTCCAGAAGTTAGAAGCAAAAGGAATACTTTCTGACTCATTCAATGAGGTCATCATTACTCTAATACCAAAATCAGACAAAGACGTTACAAGAAAAGAAAACTACAGACCAGCATCTCTCGTGAACATAGGTGCAAAAGTTCTCAAGAAAATATCAACTTGATCCAACAATGTGTAAAAAGAATTACATATAAAATAGTTCACCATTTGAAAAATAGTCAATGTAATCCATCATATCAACAAGGTAAAGAAGAAAAATCGCATGATCATATCAATAGATGCAGAAAAAGCATTTGACAAAACCCAATACTCATTCATCATAAAGCCTCTCCATAATCTTGAAATAGAGGAGAACTTTCTCAACTTGATAACATGTACAAAAAATGTACAGTGAACATCATACTTAATATTAAGAAACTTGAAGCTTTCCCACTAACATCAGGAGTAAGGCAGCGATGACCCCCGTTACCACTGCTTTTCAACATCATACTGAAAGTCCTAGCTAGTGAAATAAGACAAGAAAAATAAGTAAAATGTATACAGATCAGGAAGGGAGAAAATAAAATTGTCTTTGTTTGCAGAAGACATGATTGTCTATGTAGAAAATCTGTACTTGTACTGTTATGTTATTACATAAGGAAGGAAAAGAAAGGAGGAAGTTAAACAAATAAAAGACCTAGAACAAATAGTTTCACATTTAAAATGGTATTGTTAAGTTCACATGCTCCACTTCAGTGGCCCAGGGTTTCACTGGTTCGGATCCTGAGTGCAGACATGGCACTGCTCATTGGGCCATGCTGAGCTGGCATCCCACATGCCACAGCTAGGAGGACCTGCAACTAAAATATATGCAACTATGTACTGGGGGGATTTGGGGAGAAAAAGCAGGAAAAAAAAGAAGATTGGCAACAGTTGTTAGCTCAGATGACAAGCTTTAAAAGAAAATGCCCCTCCTACTCTGCCTAGTGCACCAGCTTGGCCGGTCCCCTGCCAAAGCAATGGTCCTGCACCAGAGCGCTTGCGCATGTGTGTGTGACCTGCCAAGAGGCTGCAGCCAGTGGGCAAATGCAGAGGCGCTCTACCAGTACAACTTCCAACAGTCTCCATGGATTCAGAAAACACAGCTCCTGTCCGCCATCAGAGGTGGCAGGTGGAATCTGTGACCAAATACTATTACAAATGCTTTAGCAAAGGATCACTTCATGAAACATCATGAGAAAAATACAGTAACACATCAGAGCAGAGGAAAAATGACAAGTCTCCAGAAACCAATCCAGAAGTCATAGAAATTTACAATCTAAGTGACACAGAATTCAAAATAGTAGTCATAAATAAACTCAGCAAGTTACAGGAAAACTCAGAAACTGACAGTTCAATGAGCTCAGGACTTAAATTAAGGAGCAGAAGGAATACTTCACCAAAGACCTTGAAACTCTTTTAAAAAAAAAAAAGCAAACAGAAATTCTGGATATGAAGAATACAATGAGATAAAAAAAAAATCTAGAATCCTCAAAAAAAAAAAAAAACAGAGCTGACATTATGAAGGAAAAAATTAGTGCTTTAGAGGACAGAAATATAGAAATGCTTCATATGGAGGAGGAAAGAGAACTAAGATTTTTAAAAATGAAGAAATTATTTGAGAAATATCTGACTCAATTAGGAAATGCAACATACAGATTACAGGTATTCAAGAGGGAGAAGTGAGGGTGAAAGAAGCAGAGAGCTTGTTCAAAGAAATAATAGCTGAGGACTTCCCAAACCTGGGGAAGAAACTGGATTTACAGGTACATAAAGCCAATAGAACTCCTAATTACATCAATGCAAAAAGACCTTCTCCAAGGTATATAATAGTAAAACTAGCAAAAGTCAGTGATGAAGAAAAACATTGAGGCCAGCAAGGCAGAAGAGAATAATCTACAAAGGAACCCCTATCAGGCTTTCAGCGGATTTCTCAACAGAAACCTTATAGGCTAGGAGAGAATGGAATGATATATTCAAAATACTGAAAGACAGAAAACTTTCAGCGAAGAATAGTCTATCCAGTGAAACTACCCTTCAGATACAATGAAGAAATAGAAGATTTCCTGGATAAACAAAAGCTGAGGCCGTTCATCACCATTAGACCTCCCTTACAAGAAATTAACAAGGATGCTCTCATACCTAAAACAAAAAGGCAACAGTTTACAAAGCTTTGAGCAAGGAGATAAATAGACAAAACCAGAAAATTTCAGGTCTCTATCAGAATAGGCTAGCAAACAATTATAACAAAAGATAAATTGAAAGAAAACATCAAAAATAACTATAAACACTTCAATTTAGTTACAAACTCATAACACAAAACAATAATTTGTGACAACAATAACTCAGAAGGGGAAGAAGAAAGGGATGGAACCTGCTTAAGACAATGCAGATAAAAGACTATCAGAAAATGGACTATCTCATCTACGACATCTTTTATACAAGCCTCATGGTAACCACTAAACAAAAAATCAGAACAGACACAAATCATAAAGAGAAAATGGAGAAAACCATCACAGAAAAGCACCAAACTGAATTGGAAGTCAGAAATACAAGGCAAGAGAAACAATGGAAATATAGAACAACCAGAAAATGAGATAAAGTAGCGATATTAAGCTCTCATATATCAATAAGCACTCTAAATGTAAATGGATTGAATTCTCCAATCAAAAGACACAGAGTGACTTGATGGATTAAGAAACAAGACTAACAATATGCTGCCTCCAGGAAACGCATCTCAGCTTTAAAGACAACACAGGCTCAGAGTGAAGGGATGTAAGATGATACTCCAAGCAAATGGCAAGCAAAAGAAAGCATATGTTGTCATACTTATATCAGACAAAGCAGACTTCAAGATAAAAAAGGCAATGAGAGGGAAAAAGGGGCAGTATATAATGATAAAACGGACAGTCCATCAAGAGGAC